ACTCAGCCTCTAACAGAAATGAGTATCAGGAATCTTCCTGGGAGTGAGGGGCAGCCAGAGCATAAGGCTGACAACCTCACCACCATCTGTGAGCTGGCTGTCTAGAAATGTGGGAGTCTCAACATCTCACAACACAATAGGTCTCCAAGGCCCACTATAGAGATAGCTTTAGTTTTACCTTTTTTGAGATTGCAAAAACAGTGTAGCAATTTGAAAAGTTAGACAGTTGCCTGAAGATGGCCAAGTACAGCCAAAACATGTGTCAATTTATAATGGTTAATTTTTAACTTTTATTTTTATGTAAAGGAGTAACTGTAAATAAAGTTGCCTTTAACGTGAAGTGAATGTATGTGGTATATTAATGCAAGAGGATGGTGAAATATATTACTACAAATTAAAGAATGCCTTAAGTATTTCAAAGAGCGAATCCTCACCTTCTAATCAGATAAACAGAGTATTTTTCTCCGTAATTCCTTGGCCTTACCTGGACCATATAAGTGACAGTGCCCCTCACTTTATGTGGGAATGTCACATCTGTCACATGGAAGGCAAGCTGAGCTTCACTATTACACCTTGCTGGGAGCTGGAAGTGCATCTTAATTCCAAACTGATCATCTCTGTTCTAAAAGCATAAAATTGGCACTCTGCAGTAAAAAACAGAACTAAGAGGAATGACAACTGGAAAAACTTCTAACACATTAAACATGGGCATCAAGGATGTCAGTCTAATTTACAAAACGCAAATCTCCATCAATATGCAAATAATAATTGTGTTCTGTATTTCTACTATTGTACACATGATTACTTTAAAAGAAGGATGTGGAATGTTTGAAGTCATTAAGTGCTTCCATTAATATCATAACAATCCATTTGCAAGGGAAATCAAATTTCATAATGGTTCATTACATTTCCAGTACAAAATGACCACCATATTTACTTGTATAATTTATGCCTCGACATTGTTTACACATCCCTACTTCTGGAAAATAAATTTCAGATAAGAATATATCAGTGATAAAATTTTGACTGCCATGTAATTTCCACACAAAAAAGTGACTACAGTAAAATTCATTATGGCAACAATGCACAGGGAACTTTAACCACTTTCTCCACTACAGGTATCATTGGTCAAAATGTTATCAAGGGACTTTCTCATCTACATGTCCATCAACAAACTATACAGAATACATAGGTGCAAATGCATATACTGTTTCAGAAAATCACATGCAGTTTTAATTGCAGCTTTTGCAAAAATCATGCTTCAGTCACAATTTTATCAAGGGGAATTTCTGTCTCCATGTTCTTCATGAAAAAGCACAGTGGGACACATACGTGCAAATGCCAATACTGTGTTGCCACACCATACTTAACTTCCATCACATTTTCTATGCAGATCATGCATTAGTTGAAAACAGTGGAATTACTATCTAATGTCCATCAAGGAATCATACTGCAAAGCCTGTAGGCATACCCCTTTACCACACAGCATTCAACGGTAAGTGTATCAATTTAATGTGGAAAATTATATTCTGAAAATAAGTACTGCTACGAATATAAAGCTCCAAGACCTTGTATTTCTAAAAACCATGTCCCACTTTCTTTATTCTGGTATGGAGAGAGCTATCCACTTGTGAAGAACTGCCTGCATAAGGTCAAAGGGTTAGTGTTTAAAAACACATCCATATAATGGGCCTCCATATTAAACAGGCAATCAAATGAATGGTGGGTTACTCTGTCCAGATATGGACCCTGGTGGGGAACCAAGAGTTCCAACTCAGACAAGTCACACCACCATCATACAACTCTAGCATATTAAATGAAACTGCACTCTGACATTCAGACAATTGTGTAGCAGTCACTATATTCCCATCACACGTTTACCACTGAACCTGCCTTATATACTCCTATGGAAAAGATATAAAAGAACATACAGCTCTAAGCAGTCTCACAGCTGGAGTATCACACATGCTGAAAACCAGCTCCTTAATAACAGAAGAACTCTGATTTTTCAGTACGATGGAAACTACAATTTGATCACTTTCATGAGGTAGAAGTCTCGTCTCATACATCTGCAAAACAAAAGCATAAACCTTTAGGAAACAAAATTTGTAAAGTGCATAATGTATGTTTTAACGTACCCAGAAAAGGTAGCTGAACAGCCAGCCACCTTACTACTAGAGAGCATAAATATATGCTTGCAGTAATGGTCAGTCAGACACATGCATGAGCATTCGTTCATTCTTCTGAGATGTGACACCACATAGTGAGGTAGATGTTCACCAACATTTTGAAGGAATACACTGCCTTCATCTTCAGAGTGAGACACTAACCTATGCACGTATGCAATCTGCTTCCTTGCTCAGCTTACTCTCTCACTCTGAAGAAAAATGTAACATGCTCCTCCAAAATGTCAGTAAACTTCTACCAGAATACACAGTGTCATATACCAGTATACGGTATTCTTCACAGGTTCTGCCACATGAATCTCAAACCTTAATATGTATGAGATCTTGGATTCTCACAGTAGAGACAATTTATAATGTGTTTTCCTGGATTACGCCACTGTGTAGTCTGCAGGGTGGTTACTGCTCCAGTGGAGCTTGCTGCCTCCTACTTCACTTCTATGCCGAAAATGGAGACAGCATTTCCTATGAAACATCATTAACTACCTACTGGACTATGTGATGTCACGACCATTAGGACTGTAACCTACAATAAGAAACATGAATTAAAGAAGAGGGACTTAGTGGTTTCAGCTTGTTGGTGAATTTGATCCATTGCCAAATCTGTGTGGATTTTTATGCTCCAGATTTAAACCTCCAACAGTACCAAAAATAAAATAATATTTCATATTATGAAGTATGTTGAAATATTACATGAACATAATATGAAATATTACATGAATATTGCTTGCGTCCATGACATTCTCTAAGTCATACGTGTCCCCTGGGTAGTGC